GAGGGTTAACATATAGTTTAACTTGTTCAAATAGCCCTTTTCTCCTCTATTTTCAATTTCTTTATACTTTTAATTTTTTTACCCCCCAGGCCCCGTCGTGGGTCGATGACCTGTGCCTGGGTGGGCTTTTCCCTAAAAAAAAAAAAAAAAAAAACGTACAGTAATTAGTTTGTTTCCAGTGGTCAAAAAATAAACATAAAATGATCCCAAAATTCTTTAATAAATATTAAATATCATCCATAATAAAAATAAATAAATACTGTACAGTAACACAGATATTGTACCAAAAGCAGTTCTATATTACATAAAGAGCTTCTTCCTCTCTCACAATCATCCTCTGGGTGACACCAATACAATATGGTGCTGGGGCTGCCTGGTCAGCTGTTAAACTATGATGAAACAAATCACAAGGAATTTAATACAAATAACTTATCTAGGGTTAAGTGTAGAATTTTTCAGGGAGGTACTACTGTCTGGGAAGATATTGGAAGCATAATGTGTTGACTAATGGTAGACCCTGCTGCCATATGGTATCACAAAAATTGTGACCAAGTCCCAGGTTGCTCATCTGACTTTCTGCCACATTTACACACAATTGCAGGATCTCAATTGTTTCTCTTACTTTGACAACACAACATGCATACAGTAAACCCCGCTTTCAGCGGTTTCATTTCCTGCGTTTCCCACGTTCACGCGGTACCCTGCGAAACCGATGCTCACTTTCCTGGGGTGTGTACCTTTTCGCGGAGGCGGCAGAGCAGGGTGCACACAAAGTGCGCCCAGTCATCAAAAACATTCGAGTTCTTCCGCCACCCACCACAGGCGGCCCAAGTCAGTGATAGTGATAATGATAGTGAGAATATGGACTTATATGGACTTTGAGGGGTTTGACAAAGAGCCTGCAAGCCTCTGTGGTGGATAGTGATACAATTGATACAAGTGATACAGGTGAGGGCCATCTGCCCTCTGCCTGGAACCAAACCCCGTCTCCGTGTGCCCAGCCATCTTTTCTACTAATGTAAGTGTTAAAAGCCTAATATTATTGATATTTCTCTTAATTATTAAGTGTGTGTGCATACCATCATAAAATTAAGTTATTTTTACTACAAAGTAGGTATTGTGTCTGAAAAAATGGAGTTTGGGGTTGGCCCGGTCTCTATTTCAATTAATCCCATATGTTATGTTGTTCACTTTACGAGTTTCTCACTTCTGGCCGCCGTGGGTTCAATTGACCGCGTAAAGTGAGGGTTCACTGTACTGTATATTGTTTCTCACTATTGATTTTTTTCATTTTTACATTTCTTTATGGTTCTTTATTATTATTAGTGTTATTATTATTATTTCATTTTTAATTTTGTATTTTGTATTATAAATTTTATTTACTATGAATTATTATTTTATTTTTAATTTTGTATTTTTATTATAAATTTTATATAATATGAATTATTATTATTACATTTTCACCCCCAGGCCCCGATGTGGGTTAGTGACCTGTGCCCGGGTGGGCTAATCCCCATAAAAAATAAACTCCCACAATCGTGGGCTAACTCCCATGGACGTAAGAAATGTTCATTCTATTTATGTTTTTGACCTTTAACTGTTCTTGTCCCTAACCAGGGATCAAGGTGTGCACACCATTTTTTCAAACTCCCGATGCTTCCTATGCCTTGGCCACTCACGATCCACTTGTCCCGAGCCACCCAAGCATCACTTCCCACCAAATTAATGCATCAGTCAATGTTTATCAGTGATGGATTACACACGTCCGTTAACCTATTGTGGCCGCTTGGCAATGCTTAGCACTCCTCCATGTAAAAAGTATCGACAAAAATAGCATACTGCTGAGGAAGCTGCTGAAAAACTACTGAACCACAGTGATGGTGGAAAGAAGAAAAGAAATTGCAAGTATCACAAACCAATCACAAATTTGAAAATCCGAGGCTTTGGTAGAGAGTGATAGTGGGAGCAAGAGTGAGGTGGAGAATATTGGAGCCCAGTTCAAGGAACTCCTTGGATTGTGTGGTCTGATGGTCGTGATTTTATACCAAACATGTATGACGTTGATCATAGAAAACAGGTACACATGTCCTATGCCACCACAAAAACCCTCTCCCTCCCAGCCCCCAACCCCATGCTCACTCAACTTCACTCTTCTGTGGTGCACTAATCAGCTTTTATACTCTGTATTTTATTAATTATCATGCATATGTAACTGTTGATATGTTTGTTATTGTATTTTGAGAAATCTGAATATCCTCAAAATAAGGCACACAAAGGGATGAGTCCCATTGACATAATGTGCAGTTAAAGGGATAATCATTTCTTGTTTTTTGTTTTGTTTTTAAATTCTGTATGAATAATTGTGTGCATGTAACAATAAAAACGTTAAATAAAATTACAAATATCGACCCGAACTTCTTGTTGAAAAGAACAATGGAGGCAGTTCACAGCTTGGCTGGTAGGGAGGCGAGATCCCCAACTCCACACCTACCTCCGCTCCCCCCTACTTTCCCACGATCTGACACTAACTCCCGTGGACGTAAGATATGTTTATTCATTCTTAATTGATAGAAAAAATAAGAATGAATTGTTCGATTGAATGTGATTTGTCCACCTTGTATTATGTTTATTAGAGTTGTGAAAATCACCACAAGGTGATGAGGTGATGGAGCGCTGCTGGCTAGCGTGTCAAAAATTGCAAGGGAGGTTGGTGTCACCTAGAAGACTGTGGCGTTGGTTAACCCGCTGAGAAGAATCTGGGAACTTGGCAAACCAGCTGAAGCGAGTAATTTATTGTTTGCTGGCATGTTGGTAAGGCTCCACTTGGGTCTCTACACGAGGCAGGCGTCCACCACCGCATCCCAGTTTGGAAGGACAAGCTTCACGAGAGACACGTGATGGCACGTAAAAAAACCATTTCATCAACAAGTCATGGGGCCCTTCACTGTTGGCGCACCAATAACTGCCGCTAGAAACGTTAAAATGTTTACACAGAAGCCATAAATGGGAAAACAACAGTAGACATAAATGATCGGTTCACCTCTGACACTTACCTCAAGCTCCTGAAAGAGGTGATGCTGCCCACCGCCCACACTATACGAAGTCACCAATTCATGATATCATTAAGTGTTAACAAACCGTGTTTAATGAATATTTTTCACTTAGAGGATAACTGCCCTGCTCACACATCAAGAGCGGTGAAACACTGGTTCTAAGAAAAGTCAAACGAAATTGAGCTTTTGGACTGGCCAGCCATATCTCCTGGTCTATACCGGTATTCATTAAGTTTCTTTCAGTTAAACCCTAAAACCATTTACACTGGTTAAATTCATATTAATTCATATAAGCTTTTCCTTTACCAATGGAATTATGTTGTCTTTTCAATGAAACATTTAATATTACATTTATATAATATTGTATCGGACTATGCTTGTGTTATAAGATTACTATGAATGTTTGTGAATACTCCCAGACCTCAACTCTATAGAGACCATTTGAGCCCAGAGTGAGCACATAGGAGCCAAAGCAGCGCACACAGACCCGGCTCCTCCGACACCAGGATGAGTGGGAGCAGTTTCAGAGGAACCAACCCACCATCTATAAACTTGTGTCCTCAGTCCCACGAAGACTCCAGGAGGTTATACAAAAGGGAGACCATTGGATGGGCTATTGTGATTCTTTATGATCTATTTTGGTAAATATTAAAATTAAATGTGATTTCCACCCTCGTCTTGCCCGTGGTGCCCACCATTTCTCTGTGGCTGTCGGTCACACTAGAATAACCCATTACAGTACATCCTTTTTTCCTTACACAGCCAAACTGTGGAATGCTCTGCCTTCTTCTGTGTTTCCATAGTCATACAATGCCTCACTTTAAAAAGATGGTTTTCCGGCATCTTCGTGGTGTAGATTAATATATCCTTTTCTATTTCTAATTTATTTTTATTCTTATTTTTTGCCCCTAGGCCCCGATGTGGGTCGCTGACTTATGCCCGGGTGGGCTATCCCCCCAAAGACCTGAAAAAATAATAAATAAGGAAATGGATGACTCATTATAATAATCATAAAATAAGGGTCCTTATTTATTACTCTGCCATCCCCCACAAGAGGCCCTCCTCCCAGACGACCATTCCCCGTTGTTGTGTGGAATTTAGGATAACATATATAGATGTTATGATAACCTTAATAGCAAAAATTTTTGATATGAGCACCGAGTTGACTAGTTAAGTTGAAGGAGCAAGGCTGCTGAAGCAGCAGATGGCTGTTGAGAGAGTGTTGTTGCGATGGCCACCCGAACGAAAACATAAAGCAGTTTTTCTCAAATGATCGCTCTAAACACACCAGAGGCTTGCTGCTCCATCTGTCCTGAGTAGGCCAGTTCAAGACATGGGCAGGAGCATTACGATTGTCGCATACAGACTAGTTATAGGACCCGTTACCGTTAAGTCTATTTTCGTACAAGGATTTATTGTTGTAAACTGTTATGTATTGGGAGATACTATGTATACATCTTTGTAATTATTACATAAGTGTGTAGTAAATGCAGTTACCATTGTATACTATATGAAGCTGTTATTTGTCCCCTGACTTGTAATCCACAAATCATGAGTAATGTGTTAACATTAATATTGTATTAACAGGTTTTGACCATTAAACATCATTGAGTCCACGTGCACGGGTCTTCTTATCCAGATGTCACGTACTTACTACTTCAGTGGCGGTAACACCCGTCTCCACCCCACATAACTTACCATGCAGTAAGGACCCAACCCGGCACAAGGGTTAGGTGGTGGAGTCGATAGGATCACATCTCCTATTACTGTATACTGCATTATGAAAATGAATGGAAAATTATGATTCTACAGTATTTATGAACATTTGATTTATGGAAGATACATCAGAGACTGCCTGTACATATCTCTATACAATGTAACACTGCAAAATGTCTCTTAACCTAAAAAAGATTATGATAAAAATAATACTAATTCTCTTGGACTTACTTATACTGGGTATTTTCTGTGCAAGGATTGACAGATTGTACTACAATGAAGACGTGTTGGAAATGACTGCGAATATGTTTTGGGCTGAATGGTGGGGCCCCAGGCTCTTGAAAGACGATGGTGACAATATCATTGCCAATGTGCCTCTTTCTTAGCAGTTGCTTTCGGTTATTTGGAGTAAAAGGAAGCAGTGTTGACACGTGGAACATTATCTCTGCATCACGATACTGGTTGTAAACACTGTACAAACCAGTTGAGTCAGCTGCAGAAGAAGCAGTAATGCTGAAGACTAAATGTTCTAAACAGGTTTGTATGAAGCAAATGATAATGGTACTAGCAATACATAAAAGCAAGCACTCACAAGTATAGGTCAATAAAAATACCCGGTAGTCATAACCAAGTAGAGTAATAGAAAACTATGCCTGGGTTACTGATGTAAAATTAAAATCTGATCACTTATAGAATATTGAAGACTTATCAACTATACATACTTTAGTTTCCTTTTAGCCCTGTTGAACTCATTATAACGCTTTAAATCTTTTTGAGGGTATTATAAGGGCAAAATCAACTAAATATTAAACCAAGAGTACTGAGCATGTCCAGCAGTAGCCAGAATCTGTAATAGTTCAAATATCTGTCATGGCCAGTGTTTTGGCTATAAAAAGTATTTTTTAAGAATGCATTTCCCTTACACAGTCTGAGGGAAAGCTGTAAATGATTTCAGGATTCCATTCTTTAATAACCAAAAAACACATTTTACAAGAATATGTTACCGACATGACTAATTCATGAAAACTATAACTAAAATGAACTTACTCTTTTTATCAAGTCCTCCTCTATATTTATCAAAGTCCTTCAGCCTGACACGTTGGCCAAGCACTTCCAGGAACTCAGAAAAAGCAGGTCCAGCACTCTCATTGTTGTACATCTCCTCCTCAGTGGTCTGGCCAGCTCGGCAGTACAGCACTCCCACCTAAGTGAACAACATTTATAAAGTTAGTATAATGAAAAGAAAATCATTAGAAAAATGCTTTTGAAAATTTCCCATCAAAACAACTTAATTATCAGTATTTAAGGTAAATTAATATTGGGTAATTAAACAGGATTTTATATGAATAAAACTCTCTTAGTCCGGAATAACTGGGGGGAAATCCAGTCCATAGTAAGCAAATAACCCGGAAAAAAGGCGAATTCTGGAGGTGTTAATACTAAAAAAGTCTAGATTAAAAAAAAATCCAAATGGCAATCCAGATTGCCATCTGGTGCACCTAAAATGCCGGCCCCAGCCACTTTGTTCAAAAGCCAGTTGTGCTGCTACAGCCGTTGTGTGTGCATCTCTTAACTTTTGTGGGCTCTGTGAACTAATTACCATGATTTCCAAAGGCAAAACAACTTCAAAGGGAAGTCAGAAGAGGGCCAGAAAGGAGTTTAACTTGAAGGACAGGTTAGCAGTTCTGGAAAATAATAAGAAAGATGTTTATGCAAATTTTGAGGAGAAATATGACTGAAAAATCAATCATCAACAGCATCACAAACTTTGTGATAAATACTGTATGTTCCGTATATGTAAAAGAATTATAAACATAACACTGCAGGTTTGTGATTCAAGAGTGTTTACCGTATTTTTAAGCCCGATGACGCTGCATCGTGGAAGACGCACCCTGATTTTGGAAATTTAATTCTAGGAAAAAACGTTTTATACTTACTAACCGACAACAGTGAAACCGTTGCTTGATATACAGCCCTTATGGCACAAGTACACACACCTCTTTGAATATCATCACTTAGAACTGCTTATCAGTCGTCATTTTTATCAATTTAAAAAAAAAATCTGTATAAGAAGTGGAAATCTTAATACAGCACTCATTTTATACACCTGGTCACCTCCACGTCTAGCGGGCTGTAGTGTTTACATTCTTTCTCTTGTTTTTGTCGGTATGACAACGACGGGAAATATTTTCCAACTGTAGAAGGTAAGCAAATGTAAACATGTATTTCAACGTCTAAATAAAAAAAAATTCTTTATTTAAAAACAAAAATTTAAAAGTAAAAATAAACAACTCGGTAAAATCAGTTGAATTAAAATTTTTGGTAAGCAAACAATAAAAATCACAAAAAATTAAATCTCTAAGTCCAGTAAAACAGTCGAAAGTACAGTATTTTATTCATCTTCAAATCCTGGTTTATTAGGATGTTGCTTATTACAGGTAGTAATTCGCCCAAAAAAGTACTATAGGGTAAATAAGGCAAAATTTAGCCAAACATCGAAAGTGCCAGACCCAAATAAATTTTCTCCATAGGAAGTTGTACAGTGATCCCTCGGTTAACGAACGCCTCGGTTAACGAAATTTCGGATAACGAATTACCTTCCATAAGAATCTTCAACTTGATTAACGAACAAAAATTCGGTTAACGAAATCCTTACAAAATCGTGTCAACATGTTTTCACCTGCATTCGCCTGCTCACCAGCTGGAGTATTGGTCCGCCACTACAGTAATTGGTTTTAGGGCTTAAATTCATTACCATTTGAGTAAATATCATAAAGGTTTTACTATTCAACAATTTTCCAAGTCTTATATTAAATTTTTTTAGTCATTTTAACAATTATTTAACATACCGTATATCTCGGCTTATAAGACGAAAAAATCTGCCCAAAAATTAGGGGTCGTCTTAAGCAACAAATATAAAATTCTTACATCTTAAATATTGTGGTTTACTGTGTCAAGAGTGGTGATGGAAACATCAATGCCACTCACAAAGTCCTACCGTATATCGGCCTATAAAGCGTGGGTGCATAAGAGCCCCCCAAATTTCCATTTAAAAAGTAGCTTTGAGCTCTATTTGCTGTATAGACCAGTACCCCAAATGTGACACTTACCCACTGACTCAGTAGTCCTTTACCAACCATCCTTGATTTTTTAAAATAAGGCCAATTCACTTCAAGTAATGTCATCAAATTATACTCGCTGGTGTAGTGTAAACACTAGTGACGTCACTGGAATTGGGAGTGTTCCCTCGTCTGGGTGGTGTGACTATTTATACAACATGTGGTTAACAGCAACCACCGTATTCTAATTGTGATGTTTCATTAGGATTTGAGTGAAAAAGGTTACCAGTATGTACTTACTACATACATTTATTACACAAATATATATATATATATATATATATATATATATATATATATATATATATATATATATATATATATATATATATATATATATATATATATATATATATATATATATATATATATATATACTGAATATACTATGTACAAAATGAATGTTCAATGAATTATTTATGGTGCATTATATATTACTTGATGGGCTATAAATAGCCTTCTTTATCTCCCACATCTCACCCTGAGCCAGACGGAAGGGTCTTGGTAAATAACATGTTTGCTTATTTTCCATTTACTTTAAATAAATTTACCGAATTATTTGTTTTATTTATTTATTTATAATATACTGTAATATATTAAACACACTGTAATTATTTTCTTAATTTATAAACTGTTTTGCGACAAAGGAATGTTCTCCAGTAGTGTTTCATTAGGATTTGAGGAAAAATATTACGTTCTACACAATTGTTCCTCTTACTTTGACAACACAACATACATACAGTATATTATTTCAGTTTTGATCTTTTTTAATTTTGTATTTATTTATAGTTAGTTACTTAAAATAAGGCCAATTCACTTCAAGTAATGGCATCAAATATTACCAGCTGGTGTAGTGTAAACACTAGTGACGTCACTTGAGTTGTAATTAACCGTGGTCACTTTTCCTTTCTTGTCTCCTCACTGGCAAATGGGGGGGCGTGGGAGGGTGTGTATGATAGCTGTGTTATTACAGGGTATAAACTTTTTCGGTATGTTAGACAGGTTTATAATACATTTTATTATTTTAATACCGGTAATCTTAATTTGAATCCAGCTTGCCAAACGGTTTCAGTATAAAATAATTAGTGGTAAGACTCAGAGGGCTTACGATGTTTTCATCACCACCTTGACACACTAAACCACAATTTTAAGAGGTAAGAATTTAAACTTGGTGGTTTAGACGACCCCAACTTTGGGCAGATTTTTTAATGTTCAAATTTCTTCTTATAGGCCGTGATATACGGCCAGTAATTATTTTATACTGAAACTTACGTTTGGCAAGCTGATTCAAATTAAGATTACCGGTATATTAAAATAATAAAAATGTATTATAAACCTGTCTAACATACCCTGTAATAAACACAGCTATATCACACACACCTTCCCCACCCCTCCCCCCCATTTGCCAGTGAGGAGACAAGAAAGGGAAAGTGACCGCGAGATTGGGCTATTTTTAGCCGTTGAGGTGATCAGTAATGCATACCGGGTATCGGTATATTTACTGATAATAATATTTATCTCCTATAAATAATTGATTTAAAATTTATTTTTTTACAAAGAATATTCAGTAAATGAGTGCGTTAATTCTTGAAACTATCGACAGTTAATTACAGACGCTTAAGTGACGTCACTAGTGTTTACACTACACCAGCCGGTAACATTTGATGCCATTACTTGAAGTGAATTGGCCTAATTTTAAGTAACTAACTATAAATAAATACAAAAATTAAAAAAAAAAGATCAAAAGTGAGAAATAATATCCTGTATGTATGTTGTGTTGTCAGAGTAAGAGGAACAATTGAAACTGCAATTGTGTGTAAATGAGGCAGAAAGTCAGGTCAGCAACCTGGGACTTGGTCACAATTTTCGTTATGCCATATAGCAGCAGGGTCTACCATTAGACAACACATTATGCTTCCAATATCTTCCCAGGCGGTAGTATCTACCTGTTTGGTAGCTGCCTATTACCTACACAATTTTTAGTAACATTAATTTGATACATGATAAATTAGACAAACTGAAAATAAACATCAAATTTAATTACCAAGACGCTTCCCATTGGCAGCTGTAAGAGGGGGAGATGGGCTATTTTTATCCCGTCTTTGTGTCTGAAGTGGCCAGTAATACCATATATTTATTGATCATAATACTTTTCTCCTATAAATAATTAATTTAAAATTTATTTTTTTACATAGAATATTCAGTAAATGACTTTTAATTCTTTTAACTACCGACAGTGGTAAATTTAGGATGACAATGATGAAGAAGAAGTCAGGTCATCTGATTCGGAGTTTGATTCTTAATGATTACCATATATGTGTAATGTGACCACGTCAGGTCATGTTATCTATCCCCAAACGTGATACCCCTTCTCTCATTTGCCTTGTCCAGTTGTTGAGTTATCACTCCATAAGCAATAGCACTCTCTCCGTGTGAACACTACGGTATATTAATACAGTATCCAGCTACCATAAAACCTCACCATGGCTCCAATTGTTAAATGCAGGAGATATGAAGCTTGTTTTAAGCTGAAAGTGATAGCATATGCCCAGTCACACAAAAATTGTGCTGCTTCAAGAGAATATGGTGTAACTGAGAAGATGGTGCGGGATTGGAGATCAAAGGAACACTTACTACGAAGTATGCTCAGGAATAAATGTGCAATGAGAAGAGGCACTGCACACTGGCCGATTCTAGAGAAGCACGCAGTAGACATGGTCCATGAGCAGCGTCAAAATGGGTATATTGTATCAAGAAACATGATACGTATGTGGGCACTTAAGTGGGCTAAACAAAATCAAGAGCACAGCAAAGACTTCAAAGCCACGGGTTCATGGTGTAGCCGTTTTATGGAAAGAAGCAATTTGGTACTGAGGCAGAAGACAAAAATAGCATAAAAATTACCAGCAGATCTTAACTGTAAAATTGTTAATTTCCATCGCTACATAATACAACAACGTAAGAAACATTTTTATCCATTAAGCAACATCGGGAACATGGATGAAACACCTATGAACTTCGACATGGTCGGTAATCATACTGTTGATACAAAGGGTGCAAAAACAGTGTTAGTGAAAACAACAGG